AAAGGTGAAAAATTGAAAAACGAAATTCTGCCGAGCCGCTCTTTAAGTGCTTTGGGTAATGCCATTCAACTGAGCTGCTAGTCTCGAATTATGATAATTCTGCATCTAGCAAGCTTATGAAGCTTATCTTTTGTAAAGTGGTTCTGAACGCTGATCATCTTACTTGATATACTGAGGCGTGACGATATCTCGAATGAGTCATCAAAACAGAGAAAAAGACAGTCAGAAAAAGACAAACAAAAGTGGAGTAGAAGGGTGGTGCAGCGAGCAAGAACCTATCGTTCTGGGTGCGGGAGTATTTACTTGATCGATTGTTGGTCATGATCTTTCGCACAGTATAGAAATGAATAAAATTTCTAGGTACACTACGAGCCATTCTATGGAGATTTCGGTCCTCTCAATCTTTCCGTGTTGTACAGATTCACTCGTTATCTCCACGGATTGATAGAGGTTTGTGATAGTCAACTGAGAATATTGAGAGCACTGGATAAGCTTCGAATTTGCCTCGTTTTAGCCAGTGCTAATGGAGTGATGCGCTTGTCTTTCTGTCAGTTCAGTTATCATTATCATGTATAGTTTCAGTCGCAACGGAAGCGAAAGATCGTGGTTTATACTGACAGCGATGAACGGAATCGTGTCAATGGCGCTTATATAATGGCGTCATACTTGGTGAGCTCCCTTTTACCAAGCTGTTTTTCCCTAGATGCATTGATCCTACTTTAAAACTCTACATTTCTAGATCATCTACCACGGAGTAACAGCTGATGCCGCTTATTTACGCTTAGAAGCAGCTCAACCGCCGAAGTTCATCGGTTTTCGGGATGCAGCTCTTGGCGAGCCGACGTATCTGCTACATCTTCATGATGTTCTCAGAGCCGTGGAAAAGGTCAGTACCTCCCTCATACATCTTCTTTTTGATCATTCAAGCATCAGGGACTGCACCATAAATGGTTTGATATCAATACTTTCGATGCGGAGGAGTATGAGCTGTACGAGCGTGTAGAAAATGGTGACATGAACTGGATTATCCCTGGAAAAATACTGAGTTTTTGTGGACCTCACAACGAATCTCGTATAGAAGATGGTGATAATTTTGTGTTAGATGGACCCCATATTCGTCTTTAACTGT